CGTGTCTTTCTGAGGATCCTCCAGACGCCTCGCTCTGCTTTCCTCCATGTTCGTGGCTCAGGGCCACAGAGCTGGACGCGTCCTCCGAGATGCTGTCATCAGTGGACATGATTACACCCCCGAGTGTGTGTGGAGAGCGCTGCGGAAAACACAACACACACTTACTCAAAACTACAGCATTCTCAGCACACAGGCGGCTAAACACTGCTTGAAGGGTCGGTTCACACAATAATTGCTCACTGTTTACTCCCCCGTATGTGATTCCAAACATTCTTTAACCTGTTGAACACTGAAGAAGATATTTTGAAGAATGCTGAAAACCGGTAACCATTGACTTGCATAGTAGGAAAAGCTAATACTGTAGGGGTCAATGGTTACCGGTTTCCAACTGCACAATACTGGGAAACTGACACTGTGAGATCTGGCTTTGCCGCTGTATTTATTTGTGATGTGAATACGACTTTAGCAGATGATTTGACGAGCTCTGCTGAGAAACATTTCACTCCTGTAGATCCACTGGGATGATCAAGCCTTCTGTGCAGGGCATCTGCATTAATTATAATAAATCACTAATATAAAACTAAATAATCAGTGCTTTAGGGTTTTCTGAAGAGCCTCACAGTATTACTGTACAGAAATTCAACAGTCATATGTAAAACAACAAGGTCAAATAATAAAATACTGCATTTTATAAATATTTAAAATAATAATACAATTTAATAATAACTTTCACTCACTCTCCTTCAGCTTAGTCTCTTATTCATCAGGGGTCGCCACAGCGGAATGAACCGCCAACTATTCCAGCATATGTTTTACACAGCGGATGCCCTTCCAGCTGCAACCCATCACTGGGAAACACCCATACACACTCATTCTCACACACACACTCATACACTACGGCCAGTGTAGTTGATCAGTTCCCCTATAGTGCATGTGTTTGGACTGTGGGGGAAACCTGAAGGAAACCCATGCTAACACGGGAGAACATGCAAACTCCACCAACTGACCAAGCCAAAGCTCGAACCAGAGACCTTGTCGCTGTGAGGTGAGTGTGCTACACACTGTGCCACCGTGACACCAATCTCTTTATCATTCAACCTTTATTAAATAATCTAATCCCGTGATGGGACAATATTGCGATATCGATGCTCAAAACTATATATTGTGCAGCCCTATTTCCAACATTCTTCAGAATATCTGCTTTAGCGTTCAACAGAGTAAAGACACTCATGAAGGTTTGGAACAGAGGGAGGGAGAGTAAATGATGACCATCTTAATTTTAGTGTGAACTGACCCTTTACACATCCTGCTGAGCTACGGCTCAAATATTAAAGGTGCAGAGTGTGAGACTGACACCCAGTGGTTGAACTCGGTATTGCACTCCTGGATCAAAACAAACCCAAGCGCAGGTTGCCAGATTGACCGACAGGATCGAGTCTGACGACTGAGTGTAAAGGCTGATCTAAAGCGTCTCCTATATGAAAGCAGCGGCAGCAGACAGAAGGAATATTCTCCATATTACAGGAGTTTTAGTCCTGATCAACAGCTGGAATTGATTTATTAGAGACGCTTCAGTTCCTCACAGCTGAACAGTGATCAGCTCAGCTCAGCTCACGTGCTGTATTCAGTGTTAAACGCTGATAATGTGAGTCTGACAGGACGATTATCAGCACACTACTGACAGCAGCAGCAGAGAGTTCAGCTC